AGATATGGATGACTCAGGCCATCAATGGGCAGATGCTGGGGCCTATGAAGCTGCTCACTGGACACGGGGCATACAGACTCTGCTTGGGAGCCTTTTGACTTGTGACTGGCTTGGTTTCATTTTACAATGTCTGCAGGCACTATCAGAAATCAGAGAAGTGTGCAAGAAATGGCCTGTTACTACAAAATAAATCAGGACTGAAAAGTCCCTATGAGTGTGGAGCATCTGTGTGTATACATGTTTAAGGTCATGTGCACATGGAGGAAGGCACAGAAGGACACTGGGAAGTCGTCATACAGATTACCTGAGGCCCAGAGAAATGTGCTGGAGGATGTGTGTGTGTGTGTGTGTGTGTGTGTGTGTGTGCATGTGTGTAAAGAGATTATGTATGTGTGTGCATAGATAATGTATGTGATTAGATTATATGTACATGCAATTAGACTATATATACACGTGTGGACAGATTATATGCATGTGCATGTGTGTATGAATAGATTGTATGTGTATGTGTGTGTGAATAGATGTGTGTATGTGTGTGTAAAAAGATGTGGGTGAACAGATGATGTGGTGCATGTGTACAGGACACGGAGGTAGAAAGGAGTCTGTGAGGGGGAGCTCTAAATGGAGAGAGGGACAGGAGAGGGTGATGGAGTACATGTGGCATAAAGGCAGAGGGGAGGGTTACTCAGAGGGAGAAGGGGACTAGCAAGAAGGGGCACAGGGAGGGCAGTGGGGGAAGGATGAATAAGAGGAAGCATGAAGACACATGAATACCATTACATGTATGAATTTGCTATGACAAAGTTCATAATTTTTAACCAATAAAAAATGACTTCAGCTGGGCATGGTAGCACACGCCTTTAATCCCAGTACTCAGGAGGCAGAGGCAGGTGGATCACTGTGAGTTCAAGGCCAGCCTGGTCTACATAGTGAGTTCCAGGACAGCTGGGGCTACAGGGGGACCCTGTCTCAAAAAGACCCCCCCCAAAAGACTTCAAACAGTTCATGGCAGGGGGCTGGAGACTCATGGGGAAGAGCATGTACTGCTGTACTGCTCTTGCAGAGGACCTAAGTCTGGTTCCCACCACCCATGTTGGGAACTCACAACTACCTCTAACTCCAATTCTAAGGGATCTGTGCCCTATTCTGGTCTCCATGGGCACCTATACTCATGCTCACATACCCATAACAGACACACACACACACACACACACACACACACACACACACATATATAAAATTAAATCTTAATAAAATATTGCATTAAAATGAAATTTTCTGTATGAAACTGTATTTTAATAATGAAATGGGGATCTTTTGCAAAGGTTAAAACCTCATTTAATTTTACGTCTTATAGGGTTTATACTGAGTACAATATTGTATAACTGTAATAATTCAACTGTAAACCTAAAAATGTACAGCCAATTTTGTAAGAGATCCTAGCTCAGAATATTGTTATTGATTATGTCAATGCTGATGTAATGAAATTCTTCTTCTAAGTATGTGGTTATTAAATAACTAATTTTAAAAAGTTCATGGTAAAAATAGTATTTACAATATGATCTAATTTTTACAAATATGTGGATACCTGTGTCAAGGGAGGTATGGAGGAAATACTCCTCTGCCCTTGTGTAACTGGGGACAGCCCCACCCCCTTCACAGCCCAAGCAGACAGCAGACCAGATACACAGGAAGCAATGACTTGTTGTGGTCACTGGCTGATCTGTAGGTGCAGATGTCCTGTTTATGGGGACACTTCCCAGAGCGCTTGCATGTGGGGACATGGCTTCTGTGTGTCATATCTGCTAGGCTCTCCAAAGACGCCAGGGAAACCCTTAAACTTGAATGGTATGTGTATAACTGGTAGACAGAAAAAAAGTAGAGTTATTCTAGGCTTCAGATGAGCCTTGGATCTGTTTAAAAGAAATGAAAGCACATCTTCACATAAAGATACACATGTGAGTATTTACTGCAGTATTCTTTAGACACGCCCCCAACTGGTATGTGCATAAACAATCGCCATTTGGGTATGATGGAATATTGTTCAACAGTAAAGGAACAAACCAATAATCCATGCCACATTGTGCATGAGCTCAAAAAGATCTATGCTAGGGACTGGAGAGATGACTTGGCAGTTAAGAGCACTGGCCGCTCTTGCAGAGGACCCAGGCTTGGTTCCCAGCACCTGCATGGCAGCTAACACTTGCCTGTAATTCCAGTTCTAGTGGATCTGACACCTTCTATCCTCTTTGGGCACCGCATGCATGGATGCACTGACATGGACGGGAAACATACATATAAAATAAAAGTAAAAATAATGAATAAAAAAAGATCTATGTTAGGTAAGAAAAAAAAAAGAACATAGAGATCTCGTATAACTTCAGAGCAGGCAGGTGGGCAGAGACAAAAGGTAGATTAGGTGTCCACCAGGGGCTGGAAGGTGACTAACTGCAATGGGTAACCACAGTGTTTAGTCAGGTCATAGAGATTATTGTACAACTCAGCAGATTTACCAAAACTATTGACTGTGCACTTGTAGTAAGTTGTGGTCAATTCTAACTTCTTAGCAATACCAGGTATACCACACAAGCTTTGTCTATTGATCTCTGATTTGCAAACTCAGGCCTACTAATACATAGTGATGGGTGTTCTTGGGATAGCCAGCACTGACTATGAATGACCACATCTGTACCTGTGCTGGCTAAGAGTTCTTTAGTAGGTTAATGACATCACAGATCTTGCAGTAACCTTGTACATTAGGAATGATGGTCATCCTCTTTGAACTCAGGAGAAGACTGAGGACTAGAGAGAGCCTGAACATGGCCCAAGACTGCAGAGTCTGGAGATGGCAAACTCAAGGACTCATCAGGAGTAACTCTTCTTATCACTTCTGCATTTCTGTGTCTGTGTGTTTTTCAAGCAGGTCATGGGTTATCTTGGTTCTAAGCAGTATTTCAGGAGCTTTAGAACAGCCTTGGATGACAGAGGCAGTGCCCCTGCTGGAGACAAGGGCTGGCTTTCTCATAGTCCCCCACAGTTGGAGTTGAGGTCTCTCTCTGAGTAGAGGGTCAAACTGTTCATCACAGTTGGTTCTAGGTGCTGTACCCCAGCACCACATTGTCTGTTTCTGGGGTGCGGGATCAGGGTTCCAGAAGGGCTTTCTTCCTGGCTTAAGGATTGCAGCCTCTTGTTCTGTCCTCATTTAAAAGAGACAGCAAGCAAGTTCAACTTCTCTTCTTCTTAAAGAGAAAGGCCTCATTGTGGAGCTCTACCCTCATGTCCTCAAGCCTTGTTACTTACCAGGGGTCCCTCTGCCTAGCACTGCCTCATCTGAGTTTAGGGCTTCAATGCAGGAATTCTAAGGTATGGCAACATGCAGTTGGTAACTGCCAATTATAAGAGGCCTGGGTTCTCCAGAACCAGCATTTCTCCCACAGGGTACCACCTGCTTCACGTTCACAAGTCACTGGTCCTATTTGTCCCTCCTGTGAAATGGAGCTCAGGCTACTGTGTAGGAAAACATTACCATGCTGGCTGTGCTTTGTCTCTGACCCAGGAGCCCTGTGCCTTCTTGTCACATGAACCCATGACAGTGTGATTTGCCAGGTTGCACTGGGGTGAAAACTCAGAGCCTGCAAATTCTTTACAAAACAAAACCATCTAGACTCAACTGTCTGGGTATGCAGCAGAGTGGGCACTTGTTAAAAGTGGGTTCCTGTCCCTTCTTTCTACAGCATATCAAGCTGCACACAAAAAGCTCTGCCAGAGCTCAGCAATGAGCCCAAGTCCTGGGAAGTAGCCGAGTCCTGGAATGAGCCTGAATTCCAGGGACGAGCTGAGTCCTGGGATAAGCGTGGGTTCTAGGACTCACTCCTACACCAAGCTCACCTGCTTCACACTTTCCTCAGCTCCAGCTGACTGGAGACTCTGCTGTGTCAACAGCCAGGGGATGACCACTTCTCAATTCATTCCACAACACAATTTACATTTCGAATCTACTTATTTCCCCAAAGATACTTACTACATTCCTGGAAATATTAGCAGTGTGCCCCACATTGGAATCCCTTATGAGGAGTTAGAGGTTTCTCTTTATACAGTATGATGGCATTTATTTCTGAATTTCTTTCCCACTTGGTTTTCCTAGGCTGAAAGATGGATTTCTTGTCTCTAGAAAATTACACAGTGCTGGAATGGTCCTTCTCTTAGGAGAAGGAACTTCTCATTCCCCCGAGAGTTTGCGTCGTTTCACCAGCATCTTCCATGCCCCACCCATTACCAGATCTTTCTATTCTCTGCTCCTATGAATTCAACTCAGAAAAAAGTTCAAGATATCTAGCTCACCACATGGTGAGTATAGTTAACAGTAATGCATATTTTGAAATTTTTCTGAAGGAGCAGATTTTAAGTGTTCATATCGCAGTGATATGTATTAGCGAATGCACATGTTAGACTGACAAGCATTCCAAAAGGCATGCAATTTTAAATATATTATTTATTCTTTCTATTTTATTTTATGTGTATGAGTCTATTGCCTGCATGTAATATATGTGCACCATGTCATGCAATGCCTACAGAGATTAGAAGAGAGTGTTGGAGCCCCTGGAGCTGGAGTTAGGACAGTTGTTAGCAGCCATGTGAGTGCTGGAAACCCAACCTGGGTCCTCTGCAAGACCAGCCAGCGCTCTTAACCTCTGAGCCATCTCTCCAGCCTTGAGGCATGCAATTTTAAAAACAACATTATTACATGGTAACTGTAGTCAGCTTTAATTTGTCAATTAAATAAATACAGGGAAGAAAGAAGGGAGAAAAGGAGGGAAAGAGGGAAGCCAATGCAAGGAAGGAAAGAAGGAAGGAGAGGCTGGAGGAAGAGGTGGAGGTGGGTGGATACGCACAGTTGCTGTGGGGTGTGCTGTGCTTTAAAAGCACCTGAACCTCTTGCCTCAGTATAAACTCCCCTAATGTCTGAGAGAACTGAAAGGATCCCTGCCAGGTCCACAAACCTTGATGGCATCCTCATTCGTGGTCTTGCACTCCACCAGCTCTGAAATGTCCCTCACGGTGCTGTTCTCCTCCACTGACACCACCCTGACTGGCATGGCCACCGTCTTCCCTGTGAGGATGGCTGTGTTCAGGAGTTCAGTGTCCTGCCGAAGAACCAGACACACTAGATCAGAGGACAGTCATTATTCCATTGGACACTGGGCGATGCTCAGGGATGCTCCTGAGGTAAGCACCGGGCTGTTGTTATTGGACATACAGTGGCACTGATCTTAGAAACTTCATTAAAAGAATCATTCTTTTGGAATCAAGTCCCAAGAATGTTCAACTTTTGGCTTCCTATGGCCATCTTCCTAGTTTCCGACAGCAATAAAGAGCATGCATCCCTTCTAGTATTACAGAGATTAAGCAGCACCACACAGCACCTAGGTCTGGAAGGTAAGCAAGGAAGGTAAGCAAGAGAAATTAACTTTGAATACTTCAGGCAGGAAGGTACTGTGCTGGGTTGACTAATGCCCATCTCTTTCTGCAAAAGATGACCACGCTCTAATGCCCAGGGCCTGTGAACATGTTGCTGCACTTGGTATCTCTTTGTGGATGGAATGAAGCTCAGGGCCTTGGGAAGAGGCACTGTCCTGGATCTCCTGGGGTGGCCCCTATGGAATCCTAATGTTCCCGAAGGGGGGAGACATGGTATTAGAGAGAGTGGGTTGTACTGATGGGGGCAGATGTCAGCATGGAGTGGCCATGCTCTCATGTGGGGAATGGCTTCCTGAAGACCAGAAAGGGGCAGTTTTCCCTAAGAGTCTCTAGCACAGCCCTGACCCACAAGCAGCCCTTTGCCCCACAAGGCGCACTTCAGATCTCCGCTCTCCAGAAAGCAGACAAGATGAGTCCGCCCTGGTGCCTCAGCTTCCTGAGTGGCCCGAACTACAAGTGCATGCCATCTGGCCCCGTCCAGGGGCTGCCTTTTTCTGCTTTTTCTTTTTGCAGTGGTGGACATGGAAGTTGAAGCGTCCTATGTCCTAGTTTGTTCTTCATTGCTGTGACCAAATACTCTGACCAATACCAACTTGGGGAGGAAAGGGTTTACTCAGCTTACATCTCCCAGGTCACAGTTCATCAGGGAGCCTAAGGTAGGAACTCAGGGCAGGAACCTGGAAGCAGGAGCTGGAGCACAGGCCATGGAGGACTGCTGCTTACAGGCTTGCTCCCCTGGCCCCTGCTCAGCCTGCTTTCTTATGCAACACAGGCCCACCTGCCCAGGGGTGGTACCACCCACAGTGGGCTGGGCCCTCCCACATCACACATCAAAAAGATGCCCTCAGACATGGCCACAGGCCAGTCCAATAGAGGCAATTCCCCAACTGAGGCTCCCTCAACCCAGGTGTGTCAAGTTGACACTAAAGCTATCTAGCACAATTGAGCCCTTGTCAACTTGCTACACAAACATCACTATTAAACCATAACTTTCCAATTTCTGTCCCCAAGATATGATGTTAATATCACAACATAAGACAGTACAACCTTAAAAACCCTCACAGTCCTTAAAAAACCCAAACACTTAAAAGTTCATAGTCTCTTTCAAAGTCTCTTAACTGTGGGATTCTGTAAAATCCGAAACAAGTACTGTCTTATTTCAAGGGAAGAATAGGGCACACCTAAGCAAAACCAAAGTAGCTCAAGGCTGGACATCTGGGAGTCACTCACGATCTTCTGGCCTCCAAAGGGTTCTGGCAGCTCCACTGCTCTGACTCTGCTGTCCACAGCACACACAGCTCATCTTGCAGACCCAGGCCAGCTCCATTCCACACCTACTGCGTTCCTTGGTGGTCGTCCCACGGTCCTGACATCTCTAAAAAGCTGGGGTCTCCACTGAAACTGAGGCTACACCTTCACCAATGGCCTCTTCTTGCCTCTTGGGGTGCAAAGCCTCAGATTCTCTCCATGACCCCTTCAATCCTGGGGTCTTCGTTGCAACTGAAGCTGCACTTTCACCTACGGCCTTTCCTGGCCTCTCAGAGTGCCAAGCCTCAGCTGCTCTCTGTGACCCCTTCAAGCTTTCAACACCAGAACCATGCAGGAGACTCTTACACATTACCAAGTCCTGCTTCCAGCTTGAGATAGAGGCTCGGGTCCCCTCTGTGTGCTGACCCTGAGGAAATACCTCCCAGAAGATTTCACCACAGTGATGCTGGTCTCTTGTTACTTACAGCTGATTTTTCAGCCCCAGTTAACCAGCATCAATTGTCCCAATAAAGCAAAGGTTTTGTTTCAGGTTCTGGTCTCTTCTTAATCACAGCTGGTTCTTCAGCCCCAGCCAAACAGAACCCACAGGTTCACAATCCAAAATCTCACATGAACAGCCCTGATAGTCTCTGCTTCCCTTTAAAGATTCACAAGCCAGGTCTCCATCGTCTACAACTCTTTCAGTATAACTGTTCCAAGCTCCACGACAACAAACTCTGAGCATGCAATGGCTTTTCCAGCCCAAAGTTTCAAACACTTCCACAGTCCTCCCTAAAACACCAAGGTCAGGCTGTCACAGCAATACCCCACTCTTGGTACCAATTTCTGTCTTTGTTTCTTCATTGCTGTGAAAAAACACTCTGACCACTACCAACTCGGGGAGGAAAGGGTTTATTCAGCCTTACGTCTCCCAGGTCGTAGTTCATCAGGGAGCCCAAGGTAGGAACTCAGAGCAGGAACCTGGAAGCAGGAGCTGGAGCACAGGCCATGGAGGAACTCTGTTTACTGGTTTGCTTCCCTGGCCCCTACTCAGCCTGCTTTCTTATGCAACACAGGCCCACCTGCCCAGGGGTGGCACCACCTACAGTGGGCTGGGCTTTCCTACATCACCCATCAAGAATATGCCCCTCAGACATGGCCACAGGTCAGTCCAATAGAGGCAATCCCCCAATTGAGGCTCCCTCAACCCAGGTGTGTCAAGATGACACTAAAGCTATCCAGCACATCCTACATGCTAGGCAAATGCTGTAGCACTAAGGCACATCCCCAGCCAGGGGTTTCCTTTTTGAATGAAGACATTGCAATAAACCAAACTGTCTTTATTGTCCAATGTCTGTCTACTCCATTGCATACCTGGGGACATCAGCTTAGTCTCTGTGTTAACTTCCTGTGGAATCATTGGCATTGGCCCTTGCACAAGGTGGTCTGCCAAGTAAGCGATGGAGAAGATGCCTTCTTTTTCAAGTTTGCAAGGTATCACCTGCTTGTAGGTTGGTAGTCCTTCTCTGGATGGTCACATGGAGGTAAAGACAGACCTTTGATCCTAGAAAGTCTACTGACACCCTTCTCCTGGGGCCTCATATCTTTCCCAGTCCCTCTCCACAGAAACTACTTCATATGGAAGTAGGAAACTAAAGAGCTTTTCTGTTCTTTTTCCAGGAAGCAGCAACGCAGGCCGACTTTTTGCACGAAGCAGGCACACAGCAGACAGAGCTCCTGTTATGAGCAGAGCCCCAACCTCTGGGATGCTCAAACCTATTACCCTGAAATTGAGCAAACCTCTGCCCCTCTCTCCCAGGTGCCCGAAAATCCTAGAGTCAGGCCCCAACATGGGTCTTGGACCCCAGCTATTACTGAAGCTAAGAATATCATGTCAATCCCCAAGTCCACTCCAGGCTCATTACAGGTAATGTGCTCAGAGCTCTCTTTCATTTTCTTTTTCAGAATGGTCTTCAGCTAATTAAGCAGTGCAGTTCCTCATGAACTAATTGTGATTAGCTTCCTAATGGTTGCTACAGTTTCACAGTTGCATGAATGCACACACATGCACATGGATACACACACATCCTCCTCCTTATCTCTGAAGTACAATCCACCAAGATCAAGGCTGGTTGGACAAAAGAGATGCCTCGCTGGCCACATCAATTCAGAAAATGAGTAGCTATGGAAATAAGAAATGAGGAAAGAAAGCAGTCTTTGAAATACCCTGGCTCAGACTCATGGGAGAAGTTCCCTGTGTTTAACATTGCTCTGCTGACCAGTAACTTCAGTGAGAGTTTATTGTTGGGTGGGCACTGAAAGTCTGGAATTCCAGGTTCTCCTCTGGGTTTTCCATCAACCTCTGAATCTCCTGGATCACATTTCTCGAGATTGTTCATGAGGCGGTGCCTATATCATTTCTGACAATTTGACATCAAGAGCTATCAAATCCAGACCTCTGTATTTCTGAGTCCATTTGAAGTACTGTACTAGAATGCCACAGGCTGGGTGGCTTAAAACAACAGAGAGTTAGTCCTCACAATGCTAGAGGCGTCCTCCATTATGCTGTTTCTGTCACGTATTTTGTCATTGCAATGAGAAAGATGATTAACACATATAGACACACACAGAGCACACATATACACTGCACAAAGTATACACCCAGACACTACATACACATATACTGTACTCATTTTACACACTGCACACACATACACACAAATGCGCACACTACACACATATGCACTCCACACACAGATTAAGGTCTGGTGAAGGAAGAAAGTTAAAAATGTGTGCAGTATGTGTGTGTGTGTGTGTGTGCATGTAATGTGTGTGTGCACTACGTGAATGTATGTGTTTATTCAATGTGTGTACAGTGTGTATGTGTGAAGTGTATATGTGTATATATGTGCAGTGTGTGTATTCAAATGTGTTATGTGTAGGCAGTGTGTACGATGTGTACAGTGTGTATGTGTACGGAGCGTGTGTGCGCAGTGTCGGTGTGGGTACAGTGTGTGCAGTGTATGTGTATGAAGTGTGGATGTGTATACAGGGTGCACGCAGAGTTATGTGTGTGGTGTATATGTGCACTGTGTGCATTTAAGTGTGTATATGTGCAGTGTATACAATGTGTGCAGTGTACATGTGTGTGCAACATGTTCAGTGCATATGTGTAGTGTGTGCATTCACGTGTGTATGCAGTGTGTAAAACGCATGCATTATATATGTGTACAGTATGTGTATGTGTGTTCAGTGGCTTTGTGTACAGTGTGTGCAGTGTATATGTGTGCTGTGTGTGTCTATATATGCTAGTCATCTTTCTCATTGCAATGACAGAAACAGCATAATGGATGATTGGCTTTGGCTCATGTTTTCAGAGGACTCAGCTCACAGCCATCAGTCCTGTGTGGGTAGCACA